AGCAAAGGGTCTGAATACTTATGACCATGTGATATTTCAGTTTTTCTTTTTTAATAAATTTGCAAAAATTTCTACATTTCTGTTTTTTTCTGTCAAGATGGGGTGCTGAGTGTACATTAATGAGAAATAAAATGAACTTTTTTGATTTTAGCAAATGGCTGCAATGAAACAGTGAAAAATTTAAAGGGGTCTGAATACTTTCCGTACCCACTGTATATACAATATATTTAACAGCTACCTGCATTAAGAAATGGATAATTAGGGCAGGATGGTTTTTCTAGTTTTATACTGGTGCTGCTCGCAAAAAACAGTGGCATAGCAGCTTTACATTGTTATTGCTATAAGAAAAACTGGAATCGGTACGTGACATTTACGTGCCAAGGGCAACCATTGTCTGATCTGCTGGCTATTGAGAAGCTCCACTCCACTGGAGCAGTTGAGGGCCTTGCTCAAGGGTTCGTTGTGTCTTCCCCCTCCTGAATGTATCCTGCCAACGGCTACAGCAGCAAACTAGACTTTCTGATCCTCCTCGCTCCAAGTATCTGTAAGATCATGGTAAATTAATAAATAAGGGCTGCGTTTACCTTTTTTTTCCATAAATGATGCAATCAATACAAACAGAACTGATACCAGTCACAAAGCTGGATGATGTCTGTGGTGATCTCAGTCACACCAACATGCAACTTATTATTATTGAGGATTTCTGGATGTTGTATTCATAAAAGATTTGGTATTTTTTGCAAAAAAATACCCAAATAACTCAGATCACTTCAGTATGATTGCCTCTTGCTTGTCAAAAGCTAAAATACACTGTAGGGTGTTTTTACTCGGATTTGCATTCGGCTACTGCTCTGTAAAGCCGCTTCGGTCTGATTTGACAGGCTGTTTCCACCAAACGCACCCCCAATGAAGAAATTGACAAGGTAAATAAGAACCAGCACTAACAGGAAGTACAAGCATATTTCACTATACGGCAGTGTAAGATATACATTCAAGTGACCAAGATTTACCCACATGGGTGTAACAAACTCCTTGATCTTTGAGGTAAGACATAATTAATAATTGAATGGTAAATTGCTGTAGATGCTTTTAAAGGTCTATTTTATACGATATAGTCGGTAATAATCTGATCTAAATCTAATTTTAGTTGTGCAAATGTAGCATTTCTGTATATTCAGTTTTTTTTTATAAACTTAAAACAGTAGGTGCAACAGGGTAAGTCTTACTGATTTAGTGTGATATCAAATGTCCTTTAACTGCTAGTGGACACCTTCCAATAGATTTAATCTACTGTTTCAGACAGTATAGTGTGACTCTTTAAAATGTTATACACCTCCGCTGCTGCATCTGGCATTTTAATGCAAGAGATTTTAAGGTTATAAGCAACATGTAGCTTTTTAAATTGTCACAAAGTTGAGAAACATAATATATACACTACAGTAGCTAAAATTACTGAACCGTAGAAACGGATGCAGGTGCTTCTTTCCTGTTTACTCACCAGGGAAATAAGCAATGAGGAAAGTCACTGTAATACATCCTATATGTTTATCATGAATATTCTGTAGGGTGATATATTTCTAATCATAGGCTTCAAATAACCTGCAATTGACTTGTCACCAAAGCAAAGTAAAGATAATATTTTACACAAATGCTGCTATCTGTGTTGAAATCACATCACATATTATCTTTCTGATGATCTTTATATGAATCAAATGGAGAAACTTGATTTTTGTAGAGGAAATTACATTATAAATGTTAAAACATTGTGAAGAAGAGGTTAACGTGTAGTAGTCATTATGAACTTTAGGATCAATAATAACATTGACAGCAATGATTACAAGCATATTCCAATAAGATTATATAGATTTACACTTTAAAGTTCAGTTTCATCAAACAGTTTTGTTTATAAGGGGAACTGTTATAACAAATGTATGACAGAAATATCTAAATATCATGAAATAAAATATTTACCAGTTTTATGCAAAAGCACAATTTTTTTTTAGAGAAGTTCCACAACACGGGAGTAACTTTGGCACAAAGTACATTTTGCTCCTAATATTACCAGAGGATGTATTCAGTGTTGTCTTATGTTTGTACAACATCACATTTTATCTATATTTTAATAAAGATACACGTATGTTTTTGGTGTTTTTCTTGGTCACTTAACTTAATTATTTAACAGAGAAATGGTAATTTTAGGCTTTAGCTGTGATTTCTCCAGCAGATATATTAATTTGATTGTTGATTGGAGAGTAAAAATAAAGTGTTCATTTATTAGTACACAGCCCAAGTTGGATGTTTTGGCATATTTGCCCAAAACATCTAGTTACCGTTAAGGGGAAGTGAAAACAATCTGGCCTATTCTGTTTCCTGCCTAATGATTTGACTGAGAAAACCGGAACAAAGACGATCAAAACATTGCTTTTAAAGCTAAGCTAAGCTAAAGCAATGATTAATTTTTCCATTTCATTATTGAAAAAACACTATCAGAATTCAGCCCAAATCGTTCGAGGAGACAATTGTGTATTATTCCACACACACACCACACAAAGTGATTCTCAAACTGTGATGGTTATTAAAATGACCATTCTCCTCTTTATATTTTTTACAGCTGGCAGGCACAGATGTGGATAATTCCACATATACAGATGATAATTCCACATATACATATGATTATGGAAGCGACACACTCTGTGATGATGAGGAGACTGCCCTCTGGCTCTTTCATGCCGTTTTCCAACCTGTGCTGTACAGCTTGATCTTCCTGCTGGGCGTGGCAGGGAACGGCCTGATGGTAACAGTCCTCCTGAGACGTTGGCACCTCCTGCGCATCACTGAGATCTACCTGCTGCACCTCGCCTTGGCGGACCTCATGCTCCTTTTCACATTTCCTTTTGACATAGTTGACAGTGTCGCCGGTTGGCTGTTTGGGGAGTTTCTCTGCAAGCTGACGGGCCTGGTGCAAAATCTTAACCTCCACTGTGGGAGTTTCCTTTTAGCTTGCATTGGGTTCGATCGGTACTTGGCCATTGTTCATGCCATTCCTAGTATGCAAAGTCGACGTCCAAGAACAGTGCGCCTAACATGCATTACATTATGGCTGGCCTGTTTGGGGTTATCAATACCCAATGCTGTGTTTCTTTCTGTGAGAATAGAAGCCAGACCAATATCTAGGCTCTCCTGTTTCTATAATGATCATGGTATGCATGCAAACAACTGGGTTTTGGCTAATGGAGTTTTAGATCATGTGTGCTTTTTCCTACCTCTGGCTGTCATGAGCTATTGTTACACAGCAGTGGTAGTTACAGTGTGCAAGACTCAGAAAAGCCAAGCAACGCAAGGAGCAATTAGACTGGCTTTACTCGTCACTGTTGTCTTTTTCTTCTGTTGGCTGCCATATAATATCACCCTACTGATAAAAACTACGGTGGACCTGGGCCTTATCTCGTATGAAACCTGTGAATTTTACGTCCTACTGCGACCAGCCCTTGATGTGACGAAAAGCCTCGGTCTCTCACACTGTTGCCTGAACCCTTTCTTGTATGCCTTTGTTGGGGTGCGCTTTCGCAATGAGCTAATACAGTTACTTTGTAAATTGGGCTGCAGCAATTGCCTACCTTTCCTCCGAGCTCAGGGTCACAGTCGACCATCCATTTCTGATGGAGCAACGACCACCAGCACCGTACTCATCTAATAAACTCTTGTACAATGTCAGCTGGAACTAAAATGCTTCCGTTCTACAGTAATTCATTTGTACAGTAATCATGAAAAATGTTATCATTTTATCAAATGTTCTGACAATATAGTACCCACTGCAACTTTGAATGCATTTAAAAAGATGTTTTATTTACCCAGTCAAGAAAATGTTATTTTTTGTCCAGAATCTGTTTTTGCTTGTACTTCAGCTACTGCTTATTGAATTCAATAAAGATTTCATATATTATACAGCAACCGTGTCCCTTTGTCAGTGTTCGCAAACAGTAATTGACACAATAACCAAAGCTAAAACCACCGTAGAGATCAGTATTATTCTATTTTTAGACTTCTATTAAAACAGTTATACAGAACAACTGCAAACAATCACAAATTGCATCTTATATACAGCAGGTATATATTATATATATTGACATATATATAATTCCTTTGCACAACAGTTTGGTAGTTGGAGAAAAAAAAAAATAAATCAATATTAAAACAAAAAGAAATTTGAGGCACTCCTCTCCTGACTGCCACTCTGTTCCCACAACAACTACACAGATCTTTGTAATATACATATTTTACAGTATTTTAGAAAATGGCTTCAAATATGTTACTTAATTGGTTTACAGTGCTTTTAAATATTCCATTTTTAATCAGTTGTAATCCATAACTTGAAGCATCACTGATTTATTGGTTTTACAGTTCCTCTTTTCAAATAACTGCAAGAATAACATTAATGAAAAAATTTGGACACAATGGTAAGGTAACCTAGAGGACACTTTTTTTTTTTTTGTTTTTAAAAGTTATGTTAGCTGGATCAGAATGGCATGTGGGCCATACCTCCGGGTCCATAGCCAATGGTACTGTCCAGAGACATTCCTCGTTGTCTGAGAGACTGGGGGCCCATCATACCAGCCTGTGGGTGGGACGGGGCCATCATCGGACCCTGAGGGGACATGAGAGGACCCTGGGGGCCAAAGGGATCCCCTGGAATTGACATGCTTCGCTGCTTAGCCTGCATCATCATAATGTTTTGCTGTGCCATCAGATTGTGTGAGTGCTGCTGGGAGGACATCATGCCAGGGTATGGATTGGAAGGATGGTGGAGAAGGCTGTTCGCCATCATGGCTTGCTGTTGCTGTAGCTGCTGCTGGGGCGCCATGCCTGTCCTTCCCATCATATGTCCAGGGGGGCACATGGGGCCCATGCCCCCACCAGAAACCATGCCCCTAGAGCCCCCTTGAGGAATGCCCATGTTTTGGCGTATTCCAACATGTGAGGGGTGAGGCGCCAGCTGCTGTTCAGCCATCATATTCTGTAAGTTTGCTAAGTGGGGGTTGGATGAGGGGCCGCTGCTGTGTGGAGGACCAGAAGAAGACAGCTGTTTGAGGAGCTGCTGTGGAGTAGGTTGCTGGGATAGTGGCCCCTGATGCAGATTCTGATGTGGCTCACTCTTGGGGAAATACTGGAGAGTGCTACTGGGCTTATCAGAAGGAATGATGCGGGAGAGATCAAACTCAGGGATACCCGAGTGATTGGTTCGTATAACTTCACTTAAATCCGGGCCATCCCCCATGTGCAAAGAGGCAAATGAGTCTGAGGGATGAGAGGGGCGCTGGTGAGGATGACCTTTTCTAAGCAGACTAAGGTGTAACTGCTGTGGTGGTAGAATATCCTCATTAGACTGGGAGAAATTATGTGACATTCCTCCAATAGGTGAGTGCATGGGCCCATGAGGTGGTGGCTGGATGCGAGAAAAGCCTGCCATCTGGCTCTGAGATATAGGTGAAACATTGCAGGGCCCCATCCCATCAGGTGCACCTCCTCCCATCATGGCAGGCATGCCCATTTGGTTTGGGGAAGAAAGCACAGGTCCTGATGAGTCATGTGGCAGGTGTTGCTGACCTTGGCTTACAATGCCCATGGGGCTTTGTGGATTACTGTGGGGACCAATGGAGCCCTGGGAGACCAGTAGCTGGGAGGTCTGGGGGTTCCCCATGTTTCCTGGTGATAAAGCAAGGCAAGCATGTGAAAAATCACACCATTAACATTTGAAAAAAGATTGCCCTTTTTGTCAAGCCATTATACTTATGAAATATTAATTGGAGGCCTATTCATATTTTCAAGCAGCTCTACAATAATATGGCAAAAACATCATAGAACTAAGAATGAACATACTTTATTATGCTACTGCTTCCTTTCTACACATTGCCAAACTGTACAAGGTGTTCTCTGTCTATGTCACAATGTGTCCTTGTTTCATACCTCCAATGCTGACACCGGATAGAAGAGGTCGATCTGGCAGCATCTCATCATCGGAAGTGGCAATTGTTTTGATTGCATCATGGTAGAGGGGAGTAGAACTGGGCATGGCATACTTGGACATCTGAGACATGATGAGAGATAAAGGATTCGGGGTTGGATGGTTATCGGGAGAGGAAGTGAATGGCATACCAGGATTCATAGAGCCTGGCTGGCTAACGGGTGTAGAGTTGGAACTCCTGGGGGGAAGTGATTGGCCTGCAAAGGACATTAAAATAATTGATTAATATCACAGCAATACAAGGAAAAGCAATAATGATGATCCAGCGTCAACTTGAATTTTAAGTGTACCTGTCTCGGTGGAACTACTTCCTCCATTGCCCACTACCTTCCCACTGGTTGGACCACCTGGACTCGGAAGAGCTGTTTTAGGAGACGCCCAACCTGGAGAACCCACAGCCATGGCAGGGGACTTGAGTTGTCCAGGAGAGGCAGACGGAGAGTGCAACCCAAGGTTGGAAGACCCCATTATCTGGGGAGACTTCATGGAAGAAGAGGAAGGAGTCCCAGCACCAGACGCAGGGGGAAGAGTGGGGTGATGCCCTGCAGAGGATATCTGTGGGGGGGACTTCAGTCCTGGAGCAGAGGGGGAAGGTAGAAGTGGAGATGGCTCTCGGTTGAGGGATGGAGATTTGAGCTGATGAGGACGAGGCACTGAAGGAGAGCTCCTGGGGTTAATATTGATTGATAGCTCAGAGGGGTGCCTAGGTCCGAGGTCTACTCCCCTGAGGACTCCACTCATCGGCATATGACTAAGCCGCGATGTACCTCCCATTTGATGATGACCTTGCTGGTCAGGTCCAAACATCTCAGGGCCAGGTTGCTGAAGAAAAGGCCCTTCCACTTGTCCTCCAGAAAAGGGACCATGATTGGGAAACTGAAAGGGGCCATCGGGTCCTGGAATCATTCCCTTATTTACTCCTCTTCCATTATGGGAAGCCCTGATTCGTGAAATATCTCCAGGGCTAAACATCTCACCTAAAGTTCCCCCTCCAGCAGGACCTCCTCTGAGCTTCTGAGAGAGCATCATCTGCTGTTGTTGTTGCTGAACATTCATCTGTGGGTTCATATTCATTGTGAGGCTGCTCCCCAGAGGAGAATCCACAAGGTCTCTCATCTGAGGACCCCCTCCAGGAGAGCCCATAATCTCCCGTGAACCAGGAAAGTCCATAGGATCACCTCGAGTGGAGGGTGGACCCCGGCCCATTCCCAAATTGTGAAAGTCTGGGCCCCCGGGATTATCCATCATTCTTGAGCCCAGGTTGCCCTGTTGCTGCTGTTTAGCTAATCTGTCAAGTTCAAACCTGGAAAGCCCCTGCATCTGCCGTTTCTCCATGAGGCGAAACATTTCCTCATGTGTTAACAGATGTTCTGGGTCACCTTGCAAGTGCTGAGGAGGTCCACCAGGGTAGCAGCCATGAAATGGACCCCCACCGCCTATATTGTTGGGCATATCATCAAGCCAAATCATCCCTGGCCTGGTGGGCCTTTGGGGTCCTAGACCCTCCACTGATAAAACTCCCCCTTTACCACCAGGAAAACCGCCTCCTCCAGGTGGCCCTCTCTGCATCTGTCCCAGGAACCTTGGGCCGCGGGGTCCCTCTTGGTGCATGTCTATCATTCGTGCATTTCCACCCATTCCTCCTCCCATCATATTGCCAGGACCCCACTGCTGTTCTCCAGGCTTGCTGTGGTAGGGAGGAGGGGGTCCTCTCATCATCACAGGACCTCCTTGCATGCCAATCTCTGTCATCATTCTTAAGTGCTGTGGATGTGAGGGGGGTTGTATTTCCTGTTGTCGTCTCTTATCTTGGTAGTATTCTTCTTGAAGCTTCCTCCACGCCACTTGCTCTGGGGTCAGCCCATCTGGTCCAAGTAAGTGACCCATGTCGAGCCCAGGTGAAGACAGCTGGTGATGGGGATGTTGTGGTAGGTTATGGTGAGAGTCCATGTGAGGGCTGTCAAGTACAGGTCCAGCAAGGGACTGTGTTTGAGAAATGATGGACTGGAGGGGTTCTTCATATTTCTTCATCCCTCCCATCGAAGCCAAGGCTGTCGACAGCATATTACCACTACCGCAATTTCCGGAGCTATTTGTACCATTGTCACGGTCCTCGAGAATACCGCTCCTATCAGTATTGTTGTTATTATTTAGGTTGGAGGAGTTATTACTAGCATTGTTGTTCGTAGCTCCTGTGTCTCCAGGGCCTCCACCTGCTCCACTACGCAGAAGCAGCCTCTCTATGTCCCTCAGTGTCTGCAAAGAGCGCTCCCTGTGTTCCAGCTGCTCTTTGGAAAGACCATCCATGTTCCCCGGGCCACTCCTCTGGCACGGATCACCCTGTAGGTGTGCAGAAAGCATGGAGGGACTTCCCGAGGGAGAAATGGTAGCAACAGGAAGAGACATACCCCCTGCACCCTCGCCATCTCCAGCTCCTGGGACTGGGCATGCAGGTGTGGCCGTGCTCCCTGCCTCTGACCTATGGGCGACGATGCTGTTATTGCTGGAGGCTCCGCCAGGTCTGGTCTGAGAGGATTCATTATCCGAGTGTCCTGCTGATGATGGTGTCCCTGCAGGATGCAATGGGCCTCCAGCACCTGCAGAGGCTGGTCGTGGAGTTCCACATTGTGATTTAGGGGTGCCTGTGGGTGGAGAGCTGCTCGAGTTCATCTTTTCAGATAGGTTAGGAAGCTTGCCTGATGAGTGGCCCTGTGGCAGACAGAAGAGAAAAAAACAATTATATAATGTAAATTGTTATTATTTCTAGCAGTAATAATTCCAGTAATTATATTGCCAATTTGTCATTCTGCCAAAACATCATATAGTGCACTTTCTCAGTACAAGCATTTACAGCAGTCACAACTGCTGATGAAAACAGGAACTAAGACGTATCCGAGACCAAAATAGTTAAAACAACTTAACCCCCTCGCATACTTTGCATATGTGGTCTTTACTGTGGAAAAACACTTGTATCCCCATGTGGTTTAACACAAACTTGACACCTTGTTTAATTTGACGCCGAGTTGTGGATGTCTGACCTGCTCCAACTTGGGGCGTGAAACATTTTGCTGGTGAAACAGAAGGATGGAATCGGTCTGTCCTTTCATTACTGCCTCTGCAGCGCTGTCAAACAAATAGAGCAATCATAAAAATGTAATATTCACAACAGTTACACAATTCAGTGTTGAGTCATAATGCAAAAAAACAAAACAAATAGGTTGGTTGGTGAGATAAAGACAATCCAAACATCTCTACTTCTGATGTGAATAATCACCTGCATGACAGGCCTACAAATTGTTCTTACCTGTTAGCTAGGCCGGTTGTGAAAACATACACCACTTGCTGTGAAGGCTGAGGAGGCTGCTCTGTCTTCAGCCCTGGTCCCACTCCACATCCCATTACAGGAGCCGCGGGTTCAGACACGGGCCCTGCAGACAGGCGATCAGAGAGCCCTTGAACTGGACCTGCCAGCCCACGCTCTTCTGTGACAAAGCAGCAGCACACTGGTTTAATTTGGCTACATTTGTAACCTGGTTTATAATTGCAATACCAGTACATCCTTTTGGCTACAACATCTAAACACTAGATGGAGCTAAAACACATGTAAAGTCACATCAGTGACAAGGAGCAGTACGGCACTCCAAGCCTCTTCCTTTCAGTGTGTGCCGGACCTGAAAACAGCTATGGATAATTAACGGCTTTAGCCTGTTTTCAGAGAAAATAAAATTGAGAGGGGGTAGGGGATTTCTACATGTAATGCATACAGCCTTTAAAGTTACGGTCACAATGACACCATTGTTAGTGAGGACTGGATCTGGGGAAAGGGTTTCCCCCTCTGTGGAGATAGACTCACGGTGGGTCGCAGTGTGTAGCTTGTCTTCATCCTCCTCTGTGTCGGGTCCAGAGCACCATTCATCTCCACTGTATGGCTGTTTCTTCTCCAGAACACAGCGCCGCTTACTGCGCATGCCACCCTCTGGAGGATAATACACACATCAACTGTTGGACAACAACTAGTGTAAAAAAAAAATTAAAAAAAATAAAAATATATACATATACATATATATACATACATATACATATATACACACACATATACATATATACACACACATATACATATATACATATACACATACATATATACATCTATACATACATATATACATCTATACATACATACACACATACATCTATACA